TTTTTTTTTTTCTTTGAAGTTTTTATCAGCATATATCTTGTGTTTATTCATTAAAATAAAATGTAAACCTCAAACTATGATTAGAAAATTTACAAAAGAACTGACAGTACATCTGAACTGTGATAGTGACAGGAAATGAAAACAGAGGATAAAAATAATGATTAATGAAAGAACTTCTGTGTTTAGCTTTGATGTCAAGGACATTGGATTGGAAAACTCTCAGCTGTAAAGAGATAAAGTTGAAAGGAAGACAGGGCAGGCTAAAAGCCAAACTTTCATAGAATAACAGAAACATCAGAATTAACTTTCTGGAGTTGTCAAAATATCAAGTCACTTTAGCACAGGATCTTGGAAGCCCGTGCGCCAGCACTTTTACCACGTACTATGAATGTAGGAGCTTGCACCTAGACAGTACAGTCTTTGGTTTCTGGTTCCATTCCCCAGTTATTGAAGATGTTAATCTGCCCTTTCTAAGAGAGGGTTTGCCATGAGCAAACTGGTAACTAGATGTATTTTGTGGGTAGCATTCTATTCTCTGCTGTATTCATTAGTCTCGTCTCTCGCTTCTTACTAATGGTAACCCTGTTAAATTAAGCTCATGGTCTGCAGGCTATGGCTGCTCTCTGGATTTTCAGTGTCTTTCAGCTGAAGATGTTCAGATAAAAATCGTGTCTTTTATCATTTAGGAGTTGAAAACATTTATAGAGCAGAGAGGCTTCTTGGTCGATCCCCACGGTGCTGTCTGCTGTAGCTGGGTCTCCTCATCTGGCAGGGGGAGCTAACCCGTGTGGGCAGCGTGGAGAGGCTGTGAATGAAGCCAGCTCAGCTTCTGCCCCTCTCATTTGCCCCAGTAGAAATGATGAAGTTTTACTTCAAGCACTCTTCCTGCTGGTTTTCAGGACACTCAGGAGTTCCTGCGGTGCCTGATGGATCAGCTTCATGAAGAACTGAAGGAACCAGTTGTGGCAGAGACAAGGGATTTGGATGCCAGTGACCAGGACGATAAGCGAGAGGGTGACCGAAGTCCTTCGGAGGATGAGTTCCTCTCCTGTGACTCCAGCAGTGACAGGGGTGAAGGAGATGGCCAAAGTCGGACCTCAGGGGGCACGGGCAGCAGCTCCCTGGCAGAGACAGAGTTGCTGATCCAGGATGAAGCAGGGAGGGGGATCTCTGAGAAGGAGAGGATGAAGGACAGAAAGTTCTCCTGTGGCCATCGGCGCAGCAACTCGGAGCAGGTGGATGAGGATGCAGATGTTGATACTACTATGATGCCAGTTGATGGTAGAGCCTCACCTGAGATGCTGCCAGCTCCCCGTCCTGCCAGCCCATGTAGGACCCCAGGTACAAACCTTCCAGTTGTGCTGTTTGTGAGAAGACATGTTATCATCCTACACAGGGAGAGTGTTGTAGTGCAGTGGCAAACCACACATAATGTGACTGTTCCTTCCATGGGTTTCAAGAGATTTTGCATCCAAGATCTTCCTCTGTGCCCCTGGCAGTAGTTCTGCCTTTGTGCAGTGTTTTCTGTGAGCCAGATAGGTGCTTAGCTGTGATAAAATGCTGTGGAGCTGAGTAGAGGCTACATCCTGAAGACAGTGAGAGCTGCCTCTGCCAAACCTGTGAATGCTGTTTATGCCTTTTCCTAATTTAAGAAGAGGGGTTTGTATGCTTGCATTGCTTTATCTAGCAGGCTGGCCTGGGGCAATATTAGCTGTGGAAAAGGTGAGGAGGAAGGTATCTGTTAATGTTGGACCCTGGGCTTTGTGGAGAGAAAAGGGAGATGCACAGTTTGTGCATTTCTGTGTCTCAGGGCAAAGAAAAGAGCATCAGTGAAGACGTAGGTGTGGAGTCACCTCAGACTGAACATATCCGATCTTTCAACACTTTATGTAAGAGTCTTACTCTGCCAACTGGCACTGAAGACAGCAGTGCTGTTTATGTGGATTAGGGCTACAGGAGCAAGCTGCAAAACCTAATTAGTCATAAGTGTGAAAAAAAATGGTGGGTTGTTTGGTTTGGGTTTTTTTTTGTGTGTAATCAGCTGTGCAGTGTAGCTCTGTCTGCACTCTTAGCCATGCATCAGGGGAGCTGTATCTGCCAGCCTGGGTGAGCAGGACAGCTCCCAGACACCAAGCTGGGTGTACTGGGAAGGATCCTGTGCTGGAACGTGGAGCTGGGCTGGACTTGCTGCAGTAGGGTTGCCGTTCATAACTGAGCTTCTCACCAGTGCTCTCCTCTCTCCCAATTTTCCCCAACAGAACCTGACAATGATGCCTTCGTGCGCTGCTCCTCCCGCCCCTGCAGTCCAGTCCATCATGAAATGCACTCCAAGCTCTCTAGCAGTCCCCCTCGCTCCAGTCCTGCCAGGATTGGACCTTCCTACGTGCTCAAGAAAGGTAGTGGACAGAGTGTGTGCTGGGTGGGAGTGTGTAGAGGAGGAGGGGTTAATTTACAGAAGGGAGAAGGAATCCTGAATCTGGATTAGCAGTTGTAAGCAGTGCTGATTCCCCTGGATGCGAGTGCTTTCTAAAATAGTGCTAGGCAAAGACTACAGTAAACCTGCAGGTAAAGTCAAGCTCTGGGCACCACAGATGTTCTAGTATGGCCTTATATTGGAGCCTGAAATGATTTCCATGTCTGCATCTGCATGCTGCATTTGTTATTAATGGCTATGAAGTCCCAGGCACAAACTCTGTCCCTTTAGGGGAGTGTGGAGATGTGTAAACATTTGTCTGCCAGACTTGAATTTCAAAGCATGTGGGCCAAAGAACTGTTAAGATGATGTTATGGAGAGCGAGCATCCTGTCTCTTGGCCATCCTGGTCTCACAGTGGTAGAGTTCAGGCTGCAGGTGTCACTCCAGTGCTGGGAGCATTGTCAGCCTTCAGAGTGGAGCCTGGCTTCTGTTGTTGCCAGACTGGTCTCTCCATCCCAAGGAAACTGCAAACTGAAATCCCTCAGCATTGCACAGTCTGCAAACACAGTGGCTTGTCCCTACATCTGTTCAGTAGTGGCATTCTTCCTTCAACTGCCCCAGCCCCTTGGCTGAGGTCAGCACGGCCACAGATGCTCTGGCTGGATAAAAAGTGCTCTGTCTCCATGCACGTGTGTGTGGGGAAGAGGGGTTGTTACTAAACAAAACTGTGTTTGGCCAGTGCCTGCTGTGGAGAGTCCTCTCCAGTGCAAGACACATGGGAAATGCCAGAGGGAAATAAAAAAGGACAAAGTACACAGGCAGGTGAGGGGGAGAGGAACTGAAGTGTAAAGCTCACAGCAAGATGTTGCAAGACCTCAGAAAAGCAGAGACTCTCTGTGACAGGGCCAGGATTCTAAACGTGCAGTAAAAGGATGGAAACAAAGTTTCCAGTAAGAGAATTCCAGCCTGCTGAGAGCTGGCACTTTGGTGTTGGTTCAGCTGGGTAGTTGCCTGTCTGGTACCACCCGAAGCAGCAGCGCTCTTCACATCAGCTTACGATGGGCTCCACTGGTGTCCTAGTGGTGTCTGAACATGCAGGACAGCACTTGTCCTGTGTTCTTGTGTGGCTGTGTGACAGGAGACAGGGAAAGGGCTGCTCTGTGACGGGTCTCCCCTGTCTTTCAGCCCAGATGCAGGCTTCTGGGAAGAAGAAGAAAGAAGTTCGTTACCGCAGCGTGATTTCTGACATCTTCGACGGCTCCATTCTGAGCCTGGTGCAGTGCCTCACCTGTGACAGAGTGAGTGTCTGCTGGCCTAGAGCTCAGCCACCTAGCCTGGAGAGCTCTTCCTAGGAAGTGGTGATCCTGCTTCCAGCCACTGTGGGATGCAGTAGGCCTGGCATGTGCAGGTGGTGATAGGTGGATGGGGAGGAACCTGCCACGCCGAGATGCCCTGTCTCCCTGTAGGGGTCTGTCTGCTTATCTGGGTAACTGAGCTGGCCTAGCAATGTCACATTCACATTGGAAAACTGATTCCAGTGCTACAGAACCATGACAGAAGTCATCCTGCTGACAGCAGTGATGGATAATTAGCCAGAGCAAGTTGCTTATACTGCCAGCTCGGTTTTCTAGGCTAGACGAAATCCAAGCAGTGATAAGAGGTGATGAAGGTCAGGTCCCAGCTCCATTACACGCACAGGAAACCCACACCTCTTCCTGTTGGATATTTCCAGGTTTCTACGACAGTGGAGACATTCCAGGACCTGTCACTCCCAATCCCAGGGAAGGAGGACTTGGCCAAGCTGCACTCTGCCATCTACCAAAATGTGCCAGCAAAGACAGGGGCATGTGGGGACAACTATTCCTCCCAAGGCTGGATTGCTTTCATCATGGAGTATATCCGGAGGTGTGTTCCCTAGGCAGGACCTCTTTATGAGACTTGCCCTGCAGTGCTGGAAGGCAGCTATCCCTGACCAGTGGTGTTTACAGCAGGATGTCAGTTGTCACCATTTCTTGGATGACAGTGTGTGGTACCTTGCAGGTCTTTGAGCCTTTTCATGTAAAGCAGTTGCTGCTGTTCCTCTAGTTCTGTCATGCACCTTGAATCTCCTGTGCATCTTATAACCCCTTAGTTCTGCCTTTAGCTCAGTCTTGCCCCTCAGGGTAAATTAATTCCTGGTGTAGTTTTCCAAGTAATTTCCAGTTTAAGCAATCACAGGAGGAACATCAGCTGAGAGAAACCATGCTTCCCCTGCTGCTCTGGGATGTGTGGTGAGCCTAGGACCTGCAGCTAGAAGGAAACCTGTCATGTGTTTGGGGCTTTGTATGTCAAGGTGTCCAGCTATTTTATGTATAACTCTTAATCCCCTCTCCCCTGCAGATTTGTGGTGTCCTGCATCCCTAGCTGGTTTTGGGGTCCTGTTGTGACTCTGGAGGATTGTCTTGCTGCCTTTTTTGCAGCGGATGAATTGAAGGGTGAGTTTTCTTCAGTGGGGTCTGACAGCACAAAGCAGGAGGAGCTCATGGAGGAGTCTCTCACATGTAATCTGGAGGCGGATTGCAGCTCCTGGGAAGCCTGCCTCGGTATTTCACTCACACTTGGCAGTTCAGCAGCTCTGAGCAGAACTGAGTTTTCCCACCTGCTTGGGGGTGCTGCTTTTTCATGCTGAATCTGGGTGAGAGTGTCTTCAGTGAGGAGCAGAGGTAGCTGGTGGCTGTTTGCAAGTGCTGTGATTTCTTAGCCTCCTGAGTTTCTTTGCTTTCCCCATCTATTCCAGAAGCTCTGGAGGACTTAATTTGCTCTATTCACTTGTGTTGGTGGGCAGTTGTCCACTTTTCTGCTAGCTGACTGTGTTCTCTTCTTGCCTACACTTACTGAGGGAAGGGCTGGGTTTGGTCTCTGACTCTGGCTTCCCCAAGAGGTTGCTGAACTTGGGTGTCTCAGCCCTGGGTGGACATGTAGCCTAACTGCATAATGGCTTTGTTCTCTTTGTCTGCAGGGGACAACATGTACAGCTGTGAACGGTGTAAAAAGTAAGTTTGCACTGTCTGCATTGTGTTATATTTCTGGAACTTCTGTTGCTCTGTACTGCTGTCAGACATTTTGCTGTGCCCTCTGCCTGGGCATTTCTTCTGATGAGTGGGATGTAAAATCTGCCTTGCCTTGTATTGGAGTTCTGGTCTTGAGAGGTCACAGACAGGAAAAGTGCTGGCTGTGGTGGGGAAAAGAAAGCAAGGAGGATATGAACAGGAATGTGGCTTGGCAGCAATGGAGCTGTTGTATTAGAAAGAAGAGGCATGCTGAACTGCTTGTGCTGTGCTGCCTTTGGGAAGGGTGCTGCAAAGGGCCTCCATTTGTTGCTGCTGCAATTCAGGATTTCTCTGGGATTTCAAAGTGAGCAAGACCCAGACTTGCCTTTTGCAGATTTCTCACAGCTCGCTTGTTTTCCGCCCTCAGGCTGCGGAATGGAGTGAAGTACTGCAAAGTCCTCCGGCTACCAGAGGTGAGTCAAAGCACCTTGTTTCCTAGTTTTCTTTTAGCAGCCCCTGGGAAGGTAAGGAGCCTAGAGGTAGAACAGAAACAGCAGTTTGCTTTGGTGGCAAAATCGTGTATCTACACTAGAAGATACTTGCCCATTCTAAGCTGATGAGCCAGCAGGTTTCATGACTAATAGATGAAGAACTCTTGCAAAGATCAGACACACAGGGATGTGCTGTTTTATCAGAGTACCCACAGCAAAACTGCTTTGGTGTTCTCTGTCCTTGGTCTTTTAGATTCTTTGCATCCACTTGAAACGGTTCCGGCACGAGGTGATGTATTCCTTCAAGATCAACAGCCATGTCTCCTTCCCCTTGGAGGGGCTGGATCTGCGACCTTTCCTGGCCAAGGAGTGTGTCTCCCAGATCACCACCTACGATCTCCTGTCAGTCATCTGTCACCACGGCACAGCAGGCAGTAAGTCCTTCTTCTGTGAGTACAGGGCAAGGTGAGCGTCAGCAGAGCAGATGTGTGTTCCAGGGCTAGCCAACACCTCTTCTGAGGAGAAGTGCAGTCCAAGGCCTGCCCCCTCCTTTCCCAGCCTCTGCCCTTGGAAAAGTGAACAGAGCTGCTCCTGACACGTCCCTGCAGCTGTCTCAGCCTCACCACTGGGGTGGCTCAAACCCTTCCCTGATGTTTAGTCTCACTGAGGGGTCCTTTCCAAGGAAGACAGATAGGATGATAGTGCCAGGCACCCCTGCTCCTGCAGTGAAGTGGAATTCCTGAAGGGGAATTGTGCCTGTTTTTCTTATTGGCTCTGTCTCAGTTCCCTGCCAGCAGCTAATGCTGTCTGTGCTGCTGACGTTATCCCAGGCCTGGTGTGTCTGTGCTCTGAACATTGCTGTTTGTCTGTTGCAGGTGGGCATTACATAGCCTACTGCCAGAACGTCATCAACGGGCAGTGGTACGAGTTTGATGACCAGTATGTCACTGAAGTCCACGAGACCATGGTGCAGAATGCAGAGGCCTATGTCTTGTTCTACAGGTGAGCTCTGCCCTGCGTGCAGCAGCCCCTTGCTGCTTACAGAATGCCTGGAAATGCATTTTGCAAGCTAAGTTTTCAGGAATTGCTTACTTTTCCTTTCCTTCCTTAAGGAAAAGCAGTGAAGAAGCTGTGCGAGAGCGTCAGAAGGTCGTGTCCCTTGCCAGCATGAAGGAGCACAGTTTACTCCAGTTCTACATCTCTCGAGAGTGGCTCAATAAATTCAACACCTTCGCTGAGCCCGGCCCCATCACCAATCACACCTTCCTGTGCTCTCACGGAGGTGAGGCCGTGGGGGGGACCTGGGGATGCAGCTCTCAGCTGCACCTTTCTGCTGCAGAGAAAAGGCTCCAGCTGCCATCCCGTTAGAGCAGCGCTGCCGTGGGCTCCCCTTCTTTGGCAGAAACCCCAGCCTGCTGGGGAGAGATGAGACAATTGCCCCATTGTCCTGCTGGTTGGAGGGGTAGGGATGTGTAATGCTGGGAAACAACAATTTTCAGATCTCTTGTTTGTTTTTAAAAACAAACCTGTAGAAAGCAGATAAGGCAGCATTTATCTGTGTTACCATCTCGCAAGGCTGGACTCTGTGTGTGTTTGGGGAATGGAGCACGTGCTGCTGCAGGGAGCTGATACCACGTTCTGCTGTTCTGCTTCTTCGTCTGTCTTGCAGGGGAGCCCTTGTGTTTATAAACCTCCAATCAGAAATGAAGCACTTGTTTAGAAATTGAGGCCATGAATGGAGAAACCTCCACAATTAATGCACCTTTGATTGTCTTCCATTAGCAGAGGAAGCAGATTCTGGAATCGGGAGTTTTCGGCAAGGGAAATCTGCCTTTATTTTTTGTTTGTCTTCACCCAGCAATAACAAGTTCCCTGGTTAACCCTCCCTTTTGTCTTTCCTCCACAGGGATTCCTCCTAACAAATACCATTACATTGATGACCTAGTTGTGATCCTGCCCCAGAACGTGTGGGAGTATCTCTACAACAGGTGAATGTGGCCATTTCATTCTTTCTTCCAGTGAGCTTTGTTTTTTGTTTCACATGTCAGGCAGTGCACAGCACATAATCCCTTCCCAGGGCACTTTAAAGGCATGCAGTACTTGTTTTGGTCTGACAATGACTGGTATTTGTAAAGCCTCCTAATTTAAACCCAGATGAGCTCTATCAATGCCTTGCCCTAGGGCAGTAGTATGACCTTGCTCTCCATTCAGCAGCACCTCTACAGCAGTGCCTGGAGCCGTGTAAAATCCCCTCTCTGCAGGATGCAGGGCTGGGAAGCGTTTCCATGCTCCTGCAGTTCTCCATCCCCCTCCCTCTCTTCCTGTGCTCAGGTTTGGGGGTGGCCCTGCTGTGAACCATCTGTACGTGTGCTCCATTTGCCAAGTGGAGATTGAAGCACTCGCCAAACGCAGGAGAATAGAAATCGACACCTTCATCAAGGTTCGTATGGAAGCATCTGGAAGCAGCAGCAAAGGCCAGAGGTGGGAAATTGAGACCTGTCACAGATGGTGGAAAACCCTTACCCCTGTTTCCCATGATCTACAGCATGGCCAGATCAAACCTGGGGTTCCCCAGTGCTAGCAGCACAGGGAAGGGCAGCTGGACATGGTAGTGCTGTGGGTGGCTGCGTGCAGGCACCACGTTTGAAACCATCCTGGTCTGTTGCGGGCTCGAGTGAGCAGGAACAGGCTGTGAAGATGGGGGGTGGAATTAGGTGGGGTTCTTCTGAAGAACAGCAAGGCTGCCTTATGGTTAATGGAAGGGGCTCCCCTAGGTCTCAGGAGTGACTAAATCCTTCCTGCCTGTCTCTGCTCTCTGCCCTCCCAGCTGAACAAGGCTTTCCAGGCAGAGGAGTCTCCAAGTGTCATCTACTGCATCAGCATGCAGTGGTTCCGTGAGTGGGAAGCCTTTGTCAAGGGGAAGGACAACGGTAAGAAGCCAGAGACCTCTGGAGCCTGTTGGGGGTGAGGTTAGAATGGACACAAGTCTATTTGCTCGGTCCTTAGTGAGCTCTGCACCTGAGTGGTGTGACCTGAGGCTGAGCAGAGCTCAGACACCCACCACTGGCTGCCTGCAGGGCCCGAGGGCAGGGTGGCAGTAATGGAGAACTGGCTCTGGGAGTAGGCTGGATCTGGTGGCAGCGTGGAAAGCAGAATGTGGGTTTATGTGTTTGTCCTTCTCCAACAGAGCCTCCTGGACCAATTGACAACAGCAAGATTGCACTCACGAAAGCTGGTGGCCATGTGCAAGTCAAGCAGGGTGAGGCTTGTGTTTGCTGGACTGTAGTGTTCCTGGGAGGTGAAGAACATTCCAGTGGGTCTAGCTGTCCACAGGGAAGCAGTCACAGAGGAAGATGGTGTTGCAGATGACAGTTCTCTGCACGTCCCTGTTCTGACTGCCCTGAGTGAGCCACCTCCATGCTCCTCTGCTAGCTCCAGGGGGGCTTCAGTCGCATCCCCAGCTGCATGGGACTGGTGTGTCCTGGGGACGTGTTTTTAAGGTGCTTGGGCTCCTGGAGCTCATTCGCTGCTGTCCATGAGAGGGGGTCAGGCAGGCCCTGGCATCATGGGTGCTGGTTCCTCTCGGGGAAGGGAAGAAGTGGCCCCACAGCAGTTGGGGACACTGCCATGGAGCCCTGGTGGGGACATCAGCTGTGGTTACATTTGCAGAGCGCAGAGCTGCCAGTGGGGTGGGGGCTCTGCTGTCTGGACCGTGCATCTGCACTTGCCCAGGCTGGTTGGAGAGGACATCCTCGCGTTGGGGTGCAGCAGCCCTTCTCTCCAGCGGCCCACAGCTGATCCTGCTGTTGTCCCTTCCAGGTGCTGACTACGGGCAGATTTCTGAGGAGACCTGGATTTATTTAAGCACGCTGTACGGAGGGGGCCCGGAGATCGCCATCAGGCAGAACGTGGCCCAGGTCCAGGAGCTGGAAAACCTGCACGGGGAGCAGAAGATCGAAGCGGAGACGCGGGCTGTGTGACCTGAGGACGGGCAGGGGAGGTACGGCGCAGATATGCCCGCGTGGGGATGGAAGCCTGGGGAATCCTGAGCAGCCAAACTTCTGCTGGCGGGGACCTGGGATGTGAGCAGCTCCCACCACCACTCCTGGGGAAGGCAGGTTTCGTCTGCCGGCCTTTCGTGGGGCTTTGACTGTGGGGCAGGGCTGGGCAAGACTGGGAGAAAAGCAGCTTCTCTGTAACGGGTCTCTGGGTAACGCTGTGGCATGGGACTGCAGCTGAACTTCTCTAGGATATGTTTTGACCCAAGCAGCCTTCCTTTTGTTTGCTTACAAGGAACCAGCACTCCCAGCTTGCCCCCAGCGAGGTGAGCCTCTGCTCCTTTGTAGGTTTTGCTTTTGACACTTTTCTTTTTAACCCAAACGTATAAAAGGAATGAACCATTATTTATGTTTCCGGTGGGTGGTGATGCAACTAGAGAAGCCTATTACTTGAAGCTGACTAAAGCCACAAGGACTCCCAGTAGTTTTGGGCTGGTAGTGCACAGCTGTCACAACTTCCTAGGTTTGCTTTTTATCTAATTCTTGCAAATTCAGTTGCAATCAACTAAGAAATTTTGAAAGAAGCTGTTTGTTTCTCCCTTAGCCCCTAAAGCCACACCCTTATGATCCTGCAGATTTATTTTTTTTTTCTCTTTGTATCTGATTTTGTACATTCAGCACATTTTCAGAGAACAAAGCTGGAAGGCAAGTCCTCCTTCCCAGTGGCTTCCTACTGTACTCTGCCCACTGAAGCTCCTGGCAGCTTTGTGGCTCTGGGATGCAGCCTCCCGGGTGGGCAGCTCCCAGGGGTGGTGCCTGAGCAGCTCCACCTCAGAGCTGTTGGGGCAGGTTCTGTTGGAGAGGGACAGAGGACAGCTCTGAAGCAGACATTGGAACTCCTGGATGGTAACCCCATTCTCAGAGTGACCCTGCTGTAAGCCTAGATCTGCCCCCACATCTGTCAGCAGAGGGGTGTGAAGGAGGAGGAGGAGCCATTTGCTCCCATGGAGGCCATGGACAGGGCAGTAATTCAGTGCTGGGGAAGGGGCCTGGCTGAGCAGGCCCCAGGCTGCTGAAGCAGCTTTTTAGGAATGAGCTGCTTTCTGGAAACAATCCCCCACCTGTGTGCTGAGGTCATTCCAGCTTCTCCACACAGATGCCGTTTGTGTACACAGTGGCTCATTTAGTGAACAGAAATAACTGGCTCCCCAATCTACTGCCACCAACACAGCCAAGGGGCATCCGACAGCAGGCAGGGGAGAGAGCAGTGAAGACAAAAAAAAAGGCTAAACACAACTTTTCCCAGCAGGGCTGTTCTTAAAAGTCCTTCATTCATCTCATAAACTAGAAAGGCAGTAACAAAATTGTTACTTGTGTTTGAGTGCAATTTAATGGCAGCAGAGCCAGGCAGAGGTGGAACCAAACTGTGTGTGTGGTGCTGAAACCTGAATGATTCCACAGCACCAAGTCTGGCCTTGGTGGCACCAGGCTCAGCCTGGGGCTGGGACCTCCCGACGAGGGGGAGGGAAAGGGAAAGGCTCCTTCCCTTTGCTCTTTGACTTAGAGGTAGGACGTGGGAAAGGGTGTAGGGACAGGAGAATCTGGAAAATAATCAATGTGGCCTTCAGGATTTTTTTTTTTTAGACCAAATCTTTGCTGCAAACAGCAACTTCTTTAAAAGAGAGTCTTTAAATGGTTCAGCATGTTGATTTTACTATCCTGTTTATTGGATGCTTGTACAAAGCCAGCCAAGCCCGAAGGGAGGTCAGCGAATGAGCCGCAGTTGGGATTTCTCCTTGTTTTAAGCTGTCTTTGTTAGCCAGTGCAGCCACCTTCCACCCTGCTGCAGCGCCTGTAGGGTGCATGTCTGTGTTGTCTGTGCCGTTCCAAGGACGCCGTTCAGGCTGTAATAACACTCCTGTGCTTAAGTGTTATACTTTGTGCTGAAAACGTGTTACAATAAATACCTGTGCATTCAACACGTGGCTGCCTGCTGCCTGCCTGGAGGGGGGAAGCTCTGATAGCTTCCAGGGAGCTGATGGTGTTAATGAAGAAAGAAAAGAAACTATTTAAAACCACAAAAATCCAGACTTCCTGCTGTCCAGAGGCCCTGCAGGAACAGATCCTTCCCAGCAGCGGTGAGCTTGGGTAGCCCGAGGCTACTGAGCCATACAGTGTTTGTTCAGAGGAGGGCGCCTGCTCCTTTCTGTCACTGCTTGCAAAGACCGTGTTTCATTTACTGGATTTCAGCCGAGTTGCTCTGTGAACATGTGCTGTTCACAGCCATCACTGCTATGAAAGCATCCTGCAAGGGCAGTAGCTGAAGTCTCTTGGAAACCTAGAACAGCTCAATGAAACGTTTTCTGTCAGTCTGTTGCTACAACGTCCTTACTGGTAGAATCCACCTCCCTGGCAGCTTTGCTGCAGGGGCCCCAGGAGCCACAGTGCTCGTCGCCAGCCCGTTACCATGTTCTGCCACTGTGAATTAATAACTGTTGAACCAGGCAGGTGACACGAGCAGTGCCTGAGGGGCTGGAGGAGGGGAACAGTTCTCTGCCAGAGTGGTGACTGACACCATGTTAGCTGAAGCCTGAAATAGCTAAAGAAACGGAGCTCGGGCTGGCTTAGTAAGAACTTGCAGCTTATTCTTTAGCAACTTGAAGTCAAAGATCAAAACTTGCATCTTGTCAACAAACCTCATCACCTCAGCAACTGCAGAACAGCTCCAAGAGTTCCAGGAGATGTTAACGCCCTCCCCTAGGGAGGGGATTTTTCAGTGTCTAGACAAACAGCTCCAGCACTGCTCTGGCAAAACGACAGTTGTACTTTTTGTTCCCCTCTGCCCGTTAAAACACTCAAAGCTCAGTTCTGCATCTCCATTTCCTTGGAAGTCCACAGCAGGCAGCTACAGTGTTCCTGAGCAGGGCTGACGCAGCTCTGGGACCCGCTGCCAATGTAAGCTGCAGTTTATTGCTGAACTCTTATCAGTTCTTTCTGCAAATCACTTCATTTTCCCCTTCTCTTATCAGTCCCTTGCTGATTGCATGAAAGGGGAGATGAAAGGACCCTTCATGTACTGGACCTATGGAGCTAAACCTCAGTGTTCAGATTATCTGCTCTCTCCTCAGTCTCCTGGGAGCACTGGGCAGCTCAGCTTACACAGGCTGCTCTTCTTCCCTTCACTCCTCTCATGCCCACACTGACCTACCTGCCCCAGGCTCTCACCTGATGCTGTGTGGCCACGACTCCGCCCATGGAAAGGGGAATTGGCTGCAGTGACACAGGGCTCACATCCTGCACATGCACCCCACAGCTCCACTCGTGCTGCAGCCCACTGTGCCAGTGGCACCTCTCCACCCTCCTGCACAGCCACAGCACGTGCCCCCTGCCCCCACCCCAATGTGTGTTCAGCAGCAGCAGTGTATGTGAAGTGCATTTTATTTCCTTCCCAGTTATCGCTCGCCTTGGCTGCAGTTTCCAGCCCTCAGTCACTCCTTTGGTGGTGCAGTTTCTATTTAAAGCTAGCACTGCTAACACTGTGTGAGATAAATCAAAGTTAGAGCCAGACCAACACCTCCTCTTATTCACTATTTCCCAAAAATGTAAAGACTAGCAGACTGTTTTATAAACAGTGCTGATTTGTCCTGAGTTGACAGGGATGTTAATTAGTGCTGGCAAAGAACAACTGAATTCTGTTTAAAAAAAAAAAAAAGAGGCAATCTGACCTTAGAAGAAAAATCTCTCTAGCTGCTTCCACTGAACTGATCAGTCAGGTGTCCCCTCCTATGAGCTGTACAACTGGAAATCCTCATGGCTCCGGGCTGAGGCTACTGCCACTGAACTGGACTAAGAGGTGACGGAGAAGCTGTCCAGAGGTTTTGTCTCAGCTATAGGGAGACACACAAACACACTATTCACCAACCCTGCATTTGAAAAATGGAACTGTGAATATCCTCATAACCTCACCTAGACTTACAGAAAGGGGTCTGGTTTTCAGGTTATTTGGTGAAGGGAAATGTGACTGTATTTTCACACACCACACACAAACGTATCGTTTGATGGGCTTGTGACAGGTTTAGTTTTAATACATAAACTACTAGTATCAAAAAACTGCCAAGACATCCAGATACACTGGCATGTTCACTAGAGGCATCACAAGGCACAGATCTGTCTGAGGAAATACCCTCCCTAAAGTTCCAGTTCTTGATTTTCCCTACTTCAGTAGGAGGCCACGACACCCACGTGTCTTTCCCAAGTTCACCAGCAACTCCCAACCAGAACAATGCATTTTTCTTTTTCCTCAGACAGCCAAATAAACCCCCCCCAACCACTTCAGTTTCTCTTCAGTGCCAGCTGCAAAGATAAAATTTTGATAAAATTGTGCCTCAAAGTGAGCTGATGAAAATGACCTATTGTGGGACAGTCACTCAAGGGTACAGGCAGGCCCAAATGAACACTTAAAATACTAAGAAATTCAGTATGAAATAAAAAGCAAAACAAAAAAACAAGTACCATGAGTAGCAATATGTCATTGTGTGTGTCAGCAGCAGCTACACACAAGCACCTCACTGAAACAGTTTCTGCTTATTTGTTGTAAATTCTACAACTGCAAGCAAAACTCAAAACATAGTCAAGGAGAGTAACGAGGAGTAAGAGAGCATCTTAGGGGAGTCTGGGGCTATGAAAAGTTATCTGGCTGGACCAGCACATCACAGCTAAGATGTTCTCAACTGGAAGGGCTGTGGGAAGGCAGGAGGCTCCCTGGAGAGCAATGGTTACACCACCTTGGCACCTCGAGGACGCCCCAGCAAAGCAGCACTGATGGTGCTACAGCAAAGAAAACCCTTTTTCCTCTTCTCTGGGTCATCAATAGGATCCAGTGAAACCATATTTCTGGAATTAAATGTTTATTTAAATACGTGGATGACTTTCCTTTCATTGTTACAAGGTCAATATTCGCTTTCAAATGGAAGCACTTTATT